TCACTATACTGGGGCATTAGGACCCACGTGGACCACAGGGTGAGCGCCCCCTGCTGGCCCCACTAACACCTCTTCCTGCAGCAACCTTAGTTTTTCCCAGGAGGTCTCCCATCCAGGTACTGACCAGGCACACACCTGCTTAGCTTCAGTGGGTTGCCAGTTGTGAGTTATATTGCAATATTGCATCCTATTGATTATTAATACAAAGGAAGCGTATGAAGTTAAAAGACTGAAAACTTAACTATGAAACAATGAAATTCAGTACCTGTATAGATATGACAATGGGAACCACATTTCCAAGAACAGCAACACTGAACATAGTTGTTAAGGCATTGATCTTATTACAACAGGAGGTCTGGGGTACCTGAGCCATCCTGTGTCTTGTACTCCTCAGTCATTCTCTGGCGATAATCCCCAAACACGCTCTGCATCACCCGCCTCTTCTGCACAAAGGAGGAGCCCCGTGACTGCAGCACACTGAGCACTCTCCTCTTGTCCTGCGCTGCAGTCAGGCAGAGACAGGACTGGGGTGAGGCCCTCACTGACAGAACAGCTTCCGAACACGCACAACCCACACGGATCATCTCTTTCCAAGACCAAGGTTCCACACGTCATCCCTCGTTGCCAGCAAGTGATTGCTTGATTACTGCTTCACTGTCAGAAACTTGCTTCACTTTTTCTTAACACTCTCTGTGTATTTTTCCATGTCAGTACTGCAAACAGTAAGTAAGGGCAATGTTCCTGGATAGTCCTTCACTGATTTATAAAGAGGGTTAACATGTAATCTGTGCATGTAGGAGACTACACATGTGTCATCCCAAACTCTTTAATTGATTTTTTAATGTAATAAACAAGTATTTCACTCTTTATACAATTTCTGACAAACCATTTAAAATCCCACCACAAGCAGATCTTAACGGCCATCAGGAGGGAACACTTTGATACACATCTGCTTTATGTCAACGGCACTAACTGAGCAGTGTTCCCTTGTGAACAGCTTCTTCATCTGCCACTGCAACAAAACTGGACGACTGAGGTAAGAATATATTGCCTGGACCAAGTGCTTCAACACCGTACTGCGAAATGTTTGTTAGCTTGGACGCTGTGTGGGAAACCAGGGTGCCAGTGCTGTGGTGTGGCTCACCTTTCTCAGGGCTGGGGCCTGTCAGTAAGCCCGTCTCCAGCTTCTGGATACACCAGTCAAGTTCATCCTGGAAGGTGCCCCAGGGAGCCTGAACAGGAATCGACACCATGAGCAGGTTTCTCTCCCGGCTTACTGATGCTGCTCAACCCTTCCGGCCTGTCCCCAACACACTCTGGTCACGTTCCATTTCAAATAAACCCAAACAAAACTAGTCATCCTAGTTCAGGTGCGTAGCTGCCCCAGCGGGCGTAGGCTACGGAGGAACAATAGGTTTATTTCATGCTGAAAAGAAAAGAACACAACGTTTCAGAGCCTTCTTCAGGTGTGAGGGTAATAACTGTGTTTTCTTTCTTCCCTTTTCAGCCTGGAATAAACCCATTACTTGTTCCTTTGAGAACTAGTTATCTGTCCTTTTACAGCAGACATTTGTTCTGAATTCTACAGCTCTTATCAGGAGTTAGTTGGGGTGTCCTGCGTCTTCCAAACCTTCTCTATTTGTCCCTCAGAGAAGTAGTCAAGAAGAGAAGCCGAGGATTTTCCGTTTCTGAAAACCTTTCAGATCGCTGCTGGTAGATCACCATATGGAAACCTTTGAGAAAGCTGCCCTGCATGTTGTTTCAAAATGACCCTTTAAGCCCCTCTTTCAAACAGCTCAGAGTGGATTACACTAAAATAGTACCATATATATGCCCACAACCACATCTCAAACGGGTAGACAAGAAGATGCCGCCTACATTAAACAATATATACAGAAGATAACAATTACGAAACAAAACTTTAATATTACCTCTTCCATCACGGAATCCTACACAATCCGGAATCGCATTCCTTGCTTTCCTGAACATAGGAGGGAGGGAGTTGAAACGGCGGGATGTTATTAATAAGTGTTAAGGGTATTCCAGAGTTTAGATCGAAATAAATATTGCATTACTTTAAGAATACCGGTAATCACACTGATTATTAAGACGTTCAATTTGTATACACAAATCTTACCCACATTAGAGGAAAATTAACACGTCTGAGATTAAGATTTAGACATCTTTTCAGATCAGTACAAACTTTAAAACCAATGCCAAATATGACCAAGCAGCAAAATAAGAGTTACCAACCTTCTGTATTCACTTTTCGGAATAGTACTCAACAACAAACTGCTTTGTTTAATATCATTTCTGTCACTAGTAAGGGTACACCACTACTGCAGTCCAACAGCACAATACAAATGACTCAATCACGTGTCTGAAACAGCAGTACGCCCTCTTTTAATTTCCTCCGGGTAAAGTCAATAGCGCAGGTCAGGTCCGCTGACATTTAGTTCCGCAAGACTGAAATTCAAACTCTTCATTTCACTCCAATTAAACGGAAAATGCTGATCAATTTGTACTGGACTATTTACGGCTTCGTGTTGCCTTATATACACGCAGTGTGTTGTCACAAGTGGTTTATAATCCACTTTATAAACCACTTTGCTTTCAATTTTAAGGTATACAGAAGTATTATTTATCGCCTTTTCAAAAGTACATGCTTCAAATACCATAACTAATTAACCTCCGCTCAGTGGGTTTGTGTCCCTTTTTGTTATATACTCACAAATCTGGACTCCTTCTTCGGATGTGAACCCGAAGAAGGCTCCACATCCGAAACGACGTGTTTCTTTTCTTCTCTTTTCAGCATGGAATAAACCTTTGCTTGTTCCTTTGCAGCTTACGCCTGCTGGCGCGGCTACCTACTTAATCAGGAATCTTTGCCTCGCCTTTCCGTAGCTGACAGCGGCATTGCTGTGTTCAAGAGATCTCATGGTCACTAACATCACTCTAATTTGCAACACGTTGCTTAACAGCTATGATCATCTGAAAGGATTGTCGTTTTCTTTTCGTTTGGTCTTTATATGACCGGTTTAATCCCTTTTTCTTTATATATAATATTTCTGCTGGCAGAAGTTCGGCTATAACCGTTCCATCAAATTTTGCTGCAAGATCCATCAGACGTTAAATATATTAGTTCAGGTGGGTAGCTGCGTCAGCATGCGTAGGCTGCAAAGGAACAAGTAATAGGTTTATTCCATGCTGAAAAGAGAAGAAAGAAAACACAACGTTTCGGCCGAAGAAGGCTCCAAGGATGAAGGAATAAACCTATTACTTGTTCCTTAAATATATTAGGCAAGCAGAGAGGATTACTGGGGCTGTGAGTTACTCAGAAGTAATCGGGGAACGCAGAATTACGACAGCTCCTGTTTTACATGGTTTGATATGGGCTTCAGCTGCATGCACCCTCTGCTCTGATCGAGAGAGATGTAAACTGTATTCCCCAGTATCCTGTGTGCCATCAATCCCCTGCAACTGGTCAACAGAAGGCGTTACGAAGCTCAAGGTAAATTCACACAAAAACCTAATGCTCCATCAAATCAAGAGAGAGAATTCAAAACAGGATCTTAGGGAAGACGCACCCAGCGATTGGAACAATGTCAAGTGGTGTTGAGCGGGCTAGACACATCTACAGTATAACGTAATGCAGCTCTTTCCAATTTAACGACGGAGATAGTGCAGCTGACACTACTCCTGAATGACCACTAGAGGGCCTTGTTGAACGCTAGCTACTGTATTTGTGTTCCGGATACTTCTCAGCAGTTCAACGTTTTAAGATGAGCTATACTCCATTGTATCCAAAATGAAAGACTGCATATTGAGTAGGGAGATAGTGCATAGAGGAGGTGTCTGCCGGTTTGACTACAGCCTGGACAGAGAAACTGGGTAAACAGGCAAACCTGGCTGCCCAGAGAGGAAAGGCTGTGGTCCCACTGCCAGCAGAGAGAAGTACAAAGCTGCTCTTCCTGCTAAGCAGCAATAAATACTCAGAGAGTAGACAAAACATTCTTCCCTAACATAATGAATCGAATCCCAGAGTTCCTAGACCTGCCAGAACCAGCACACTGTCCAATCATACGGTGGGAGGAACCTCTATAGATTTGGCATTCCAATACACAAACTGAGAAACAAAGAATGAGTCTCAAATAATATGTTTTTTGTTATAAATGTCTTGCTAATTATAAATGCATTGCCAATACTGTGATTCATGGTTATGGTTATGCTAATACGATTTTTGAATTTGAATTTGGACTCACGCAGCACAGTTCAGGCACACTCCTCAGCTGGATTAAAGGGGAATTGCAGTCCCAAATTCTCAGACTGGTAACAAAATAAATTCATTGACATTATAGAAAAAAATTACGAATTTCAAATTAAGCACAAAATTGTTAACTTTTTGAAAGTACTGTATGTTGCCATTTTGCTGCAAACTCACATTTGAATTCCCACAATCTGTGACGTGAAGCAGCCCTTCCTGCTCACTAGTCACTGTAATGACTAATGTACTGTGAAGTACAAGCGTATACAGGTTCTGCAGCAGACATTTCACTACAAAAATGTTCCATCGTGATCTGCATGCAGAGTTAACGAGTTGTAATTGTTAGCAAAACCGTCTCAAAATTGACAGCAATATTTCTTTTGGATTAAAAGAGATGTATTCACAAACCTGCTTATTTACAGTGTCAGATGGCCGCAGCACATCACCAGAAGTTTTGTCTCAATCATAATCGCAGAACATGGCGCTGAGCATATCTGGAAAGGTTGTCTATTTCGCGATGTAAATTACATGTTACTGTGTACATTTTACTTTTATAGTGGTTTGAAATGCACTCATTGATGCCGATTCTGTCTAACCCCAAAATATAAAAAAGTGTTTTAATTCCCCTTTAAATCTCTCTCCTGCTTCACCAGTGTTGGACGATGATTACAGTTGTGTGTATCGGCTCTTATAACATTTCTTAATATTGTAGATTTTGTTTTCTTTTCGGCGTGCGTCTCAAAGCGGCCTCTTCGGCAACACTGTAAATGGTCATTGCCAACAAGGCAACCCGAGCCTGACAGGGCTCCTACTGCTTCCTGCTGCTTAAGCAAACAAGTGGCTCAACAGTCCAGTGCTGTGGACACTGCTGGAGAGGTCCCCTCACTGTTTCCCCGCTCAAAGGTTGACTGGCTACCATGGCAACTAAAGCCCTCAAAACAAAAGAAGGTTAATGACAGGCCTGCAGTCCAGTCAGGCCTCCGGATACAATAAGAGCTCTTTTGTGCACACAGCAGCCTCTAAATCAGGCGTCTCAAATTCATTTCCTGGAGGCGCAGAGTATCTTATTGCTTCGTGTACCAGCTAAGCTCTAGGTTCTTTAACAAACCCAATCGATTCGCCTGATCATTTCTTCTCTTTAGGCCTCAGCATGCCTGGCACATGCCATCTCTTAGATTAAGTACATCTTTTTGAAACCACCACAAAGTATTCTTTCATAAAAAACAGTAAAATCATGTAAAAAAAATAAACTCATTGGCAGCAGCTACTGTTTATCATCATCCTGCGACCCACTGAAGCCCAGCCGGTGTGAGCTTGGCCAATACCTGGACAGGAGACCCCCTGGGTTGCTGCTGCAAGTGGTGTTAGTTGGACCAGTAGGGGGCGCTCAGCCTCTGTGTGGATCCTAATGCCCGAGTATAGTGATGGGGACACTATACCGTCCTTTAGTGAGATGTAAAGCCAAGGTCCTGACTCAAATTTCCCATTGGCCCTTACCAATCATGGCCTCCTAATAATCCCCATCTATGAATTGGCTTCATAACTCTGTTCTCCTCCCCGCTCATAGTTGATATGGGTTGAGCGTTCTGGTGCACTATGGCTGCTGTTGCATCATCCAGGTGGGGCTGCAACTGCATCCACTGGTGGTGGTGGAGGGGAGTAACCATTACCTGTACAGCGCTTTGAGTGGAGTGTCCAGAAAAGCGCAATATACCTGTAAGGAAGTATTATTTTTAGTGACCAGCACTACCAATTCGGCTCAAACTCTGCACAAGTTTGAGCAGCAAAGCTGAGCTGATTAACACCAGACGGTTTCAAAACCAGGAGGGTGAAAATTTAAAGAGGGTGAAAATTTGGGATTCTAAAAGTAAATATAAATAACCTGTAATACAGACATTTCACAGTCATTTCGATCATATTTAACATGTGAATATGCTATTAAACCCTGTTCCAAACATACATCATAAGACTATAATAAGGAGTACGTTACACTATTCAGACATCTAAAGTGAAATATTCTGCTCTATAAGACACAAGGGTCCAGGTCAAATAGTATAGAATAATTAAACATTTTTTTCTATTTTTTCTTAAACAGCTTTCTAAAAGGTTGCTCAACTCACAGTTTGGACTTTATGCTTTTCAGGAAGGTTGCAAATCACAGCACACTGTACTGAAACTGAAAAATAGACCGACCTGGTCCTGAACTGACTGCATATAAACAGTCTGAATGGGGCAGTATGATTCCAGTATGGCTTACTGTACAGGTGTGCACAAGTACAGTGATGCCAGCTCCTGCTTCTGCACAGTATATATCCACAAACCATGTCAAGTCTGAGGAGGAAAACCTCCCAGTTCTTTGTGTTCGGTTTAAAAAAACACAAGTTGTTTATTCAACAAAGCCCGAGTGGGAAGGATTTCGCATCCTAATCCAACCGCACTTGTTGAAACCTTTACAGGATTAGCCACTTGTGTGGTTTTGGTTTCATCCGTTTCTCTTGCCTTTGGTAAAATTCCCTGCTCTCTCAACCTTACGGAGCAATATCGACGCGGTTTATCAGTGCTGCTCCACCACTCTTCCTGCGCTTTCCAGTAGCTCACTATGAACTGAAACCTCCTCTCAAACAAGGCCCACATTGTGTTTGTTGCAACGTTTTTCACGGATGGATCTGGAGCAAAGAGATGCGCAGATACACACACACACACACTACGCATTACGCATTACGCATTACGCATTGTGTTTCGTCCAGCTGTCTCCTTCATGGGATTCGAACTCTGTCTCTCAGACACCTCCCAGTCTCGAAGCTCAATGAAGCTTCACTGTACCAAAAGACCAGTCCTGCTACCAGGGCATAATTCAAGGCTACAAAAGTTACCAGGGATTTAATGTTGGCTTAACAGATTGAAAGGTGGGGGAAGTTTACAATGCTAAAAAAAAATAAAAAAAATCATCATATTAGTACATATTCTTTCTTCTATGTAAACTTAAATAAAAACGATTGTATCCAGTAAATAAGAGAAATATTTCAGTGTGTGCTGATGATTCATAGACTATACCAGCACTCTTTAGCAATGACAAAGCACTTACTTACCTTTCTTTTCTTTATACATTATTGAAGTCCAATTGAACAGTCTTAACTGTAGATTGCCCAGTCCTACCTGGAGACTGGGTACACAATGATCAGATTTGAGTCACTGTCTATCTGGTACAAAGTGGTTACAGCTGTGTTAATCATAAGCCTGACATGACCCATAAATGGCCTCTCCAATGCCCAGATCCCGAGAATACAAAGGTTTGGAATTGAAAGGTCTTTCAGGTCATCTTGCTCCTTGGGTATAGATACTAAAATCACACACATCTCTTTTCTTAAAGGATTCCAAGTTCACTTTCAATGTCTTGGCTGTGTAGTTTGGTCCAGAAATACTAGGTGACCCATTGTCTAAAGACGTACTCCCTATTTTTAGTCCAAATGCATCTCCTCTACACTTTCCTAAGTGTGAACCCTAGGGTGAATTTACCAATACCTGAGGATTCTGAATGCTTGATGGCACAAGATTCAGCTCCTTTAATCTGCCTGGATAGGATATTCCTCCTGAGGAATGATACTACCAAGGCACTGAATGAGTGACAAGCTAATTACTGTTCTAATTTGCGGCTGTGTGCGGGCGTATCTTGTGTCTGTAAAGAAGGGGGGGGTCCTCACAGCCTGGCTCATAGCTGTCAGGTCCCTCCTCTGGAGCTGGTGAGAGGATGCAGGGGCCCCCTCCCTGCAGCACCCTGAGATCCATCACTTGGCTGCACAGCTGCACAAACCCCCCCGTTTGTTTGCTCAGACTGGGGAGGGATGGGGCTGCAGCCTTGACTGAACACAAAAAAAACAACACAAACAACGTTGACATCACCCTTTAATTGCTGTTGATACCAGCCCGAGGCCTGTCTGACGAATCTCTAGGTGGTCCTTGAAGGGAAACGAACAGAAAACTCCCCAGATCATCTTCTCCTGCCCTTCCAGAGGATGTTCACTGCTTCCAGAAAGACAAGGCTGCTGTGCACTTACAGTACCAGCAACACTGCTTTCAGAGCTGCACCCCCAGCTGTTTGTGCAGCAGACTCAATTCAGATTAATACGTTTATACATATACAAATACGTATGTATTTAATACAGACTCATTTCAGATTAAAGGCCAAGTTCGCTACTTTAACATGTTTCCCACACAAGGTAAATTAAAACTGTTACAAAGCAAAAGCAGACAAGAAATAAAAACATCTTTAACGATTTGCTTGTTTAAAGTCTAAGCCCAGCCATGATTTTTTCTTTGAGCACAAAACATAGCAGGCTACAACACCATAAAGCAACATATGCTCATATTCCTAGGAAATGTTTTGAGTTTGTATATAACATTTTATTTATGTGAAACACAAGCTTGTACTCACCCAAGAAAGAAATAGATAAAACAATTAACAATGGTTTGAAAACTTGTACAGTATCTCTCTGTGTCTTGTGTACAGTACATACAAGACGGAATATGTAACATTCTTGTTTAATTGTATTCCTGCTGAGCAAGAAACTCCCCTTGTACCCAAATGTTTTGCCCTAACCTCAATCACCCGCATTCAGCCATTCCTGGGGCAAGTTTAGTATGTGGTTGTGGCAGAAATAAAGCTCGATTTTTAAAGAGATCCAAGAATAAAATCTTATTTAGTGCCCAAAGGCTTGCGTGTGTGTATCTCGTTTCACAAAACCCGAGCCTTAAGCCTTTAAGGGAAAAATGTAAATAAAACAGTCGCAGGCTCGTGGACGCTGAGCGCACACATCTGCCTCTGCAGGTGCTGAAAAGCTTAGGACACGACACACACGGGTCCAGCCTTGTTATGTGTTAAGTCAGCCAACGGAACTGGCTATGAAGCAACAACACAGACACAATGCAAACAGGGCATTTTAAAAATAAAGCTGCTTGAATGAGGCTAAAAAAGGCACAGCTCCTTCATAAACACTACACACCCCAATAAAACAACATGCAGAATCCTTGCCAACAACTTGAGCAAGTGACATTACAGGCAATGAGGATTCGTATCACTTCTTAACGAGACGTGTCAGTGGAAAGCTCAGAGCAGGACTGCAGGTAGACTGCAGGCAGGTGAAGGTGATGGGAGCCACTGTGAAGGACTTGAGAGCTGACAGGGACTTTTGTGCAGATGCAGCTCAGCTACAGTGCCCTCAGCTATTTTGCAATAGGTTTTTTATTAGATCAACCCATGTATTGGTGTATTGTTCTGCTAAACAGTTTTTTACTTCAAATAAAAAACATTTCCTTTGAGCAAATTAGCTCCTGAAATAAAATTCTAATAAACAGAACTGGCCAACTGTGCTACAATTTGCTGTGGTGGTTCTTACAAACAGTATACAGTATTACAGTTTTTCTTTGTGTCTAAAACAAGGAACTACTTGCTCATAGTTGATGTTAAAATACTACCACTAAAACACAACACACATGACACTGGGATTTGACAAATTGGTGTGAACATCTGAGGAGAATTCTATCTAAATTATAGAAAGAACAGACAACTAACATCATTCAAACATTCTCTTAACCCTAAAACAACATCTGTTAAGAGTCTAAAAGGTACATGCTATCCTTAAGAGACTTTAAGGTACTACACGTTTGGTGTTAAAACGCAACTATAGTTCAGCATGTTCAAACAGAAGACTGAGTTAATATATGGAACCTCAGCCCCATTCAGCAGTTTCCATCAGCCAGTGCCTGATCCCTGTATCTACTGTACAATACACTAATGTGACCTGCTTTAATAGGAAGTGCAAAGCGTGTGTGTTTCACAAGCAATGAGCAACTGTGCTGATCTGCATTCATGACCTGGAGGACAAGTCTAACAGTGGAATGGGAGGCAGACGTCCAGGCTGTAAAAAGACAGAAACAAGCGGAAACTTGGACATAACCCACTCGAGGTGCAAGGTCATCTGTCTCTCCCTCTTTAAAGCTCTGCTCCTCTACAGTGCTACAAAACTGGGTGCCGCACTCACTGGACTGCAATAAGAAACCATTTGGATTTCTCAGGTTTAAATACACCATCATCATTGAGCCTTATGAGAAGCTCTCAAGATAATCATGAAAGAATTTGATGATCTGAAAAAGAACTTGGTGACAATCATTTTTTTTTATTTTTTCCCCAAGATATCTTACAGTTGATGTCTTCACAATATCAGGTTAAAAACTTTTATTCTATTCCTGTGTTTTCCCACAATATGGATATGTTGTTTTAGAATAATTCAAAACTCTTACAAAGGATTTGTCCCTGACCTGAGTCTCCAGCCTCTGAGTCTGACTCAAACTGTATTTGAATGTTGATCATTTGTTCCAAAACACAATTCACAGGGTGAAAATGCACACAAGAATGTATAATCTTCCTTGATAGCGCATATCTTATTAATATTGGAAGTATGGTGAAAATCTGCTCAGAACACCCTTAAAAGAAAAAGTACCCTACGGAAGGTGACTGTTTGTATCCAAAACACAAAACAGAAGAGACAATGAGAGGTTTCAAATTCCAGTTGTTTTTTTTCCCATTTTCTATATAATAAATGTATCGTTTTTCAAAGCTTGCTTTAAACTTTGTAACAGAACCCCCCTTTGAAACAAAAAGGACATGCAAAGACTCCTGTTTTCAAAATTCACTGAACATTGTTCAGGCCTGCCAATCTTAATGAAAAACGAGAAGGCGTACTCCTTTACTTAGGGGATTGTTCTTACACGTGATTCTTAAAACATGAAGAAGCCTCTAGCTTAGGGAACAGATGTCGAGTTTGGTTGCATTTGCATCTTTTGACAATGGAGACCAGACAGAAAGCGCAGTCTCTTCTGTCATTTGGCAAGGCATTAAACACTTTTTAATTCAAACCAGGGAAAGTAAAGTAAGGTTGAGGGAGCCTAATCTCTGGCTGTTGAAGTCATTACTAATGTTTCACATCTTTAATCCGGACGGAGGAGCCGGATGGGTCTGGATGGTGCCAAACTGGCTCATTTCGTGACTCTGTCAGGCAGCAGCCCCTGCAGGGCAGGAACATTTCTTCACAAACACATGGAGGCATATAAACCCCCCAGCCTACCACCATACTGTATCTGCTTTGAGCAGGAGAGAGAAATTGAACACAGCGATGTCTCATGCACAAATCGTCCTTATATGCAACGATATGCGTGTATGATGATTTCCCCATGTGCAGTCGAATCGAGATGCAAAGAATGAGCAAAAAGCACTTCTCATAAACAGTCCTCTGTTGTTACTCTGTAGTGGACTGATCTGCCCACGATTCTGTTTAAAACCGTCCGACTATGACTCTGACTTACCGTGAGAGAGTTGAAATTTAAAAACTCTGTAATAAAAATCCCCCCCCACCTCCCCATCCCCTTCCCCTTCCTCTGAGTCCGGAAGCCCGGGACTCCGGCTCAGGACAGCAGCTGGATGACCTCCCTGGCCCTCCGCGTCCGCTCCTTGTCCCCGCTCTCTGTCCCGTCCCGCTCGTTGACCAGCGCCTCGGCCCGCGTCACCGTGGTGTCCCGCGCACTGCCGCGCAGCCCCTCCAGGTACTGCAGGAGGATGGCGAAGCTCTCTTCCGGGACCTCCACACAGACATCACACAGGCACAGTCAGACACCCGGGATTCACGCCCCCACGCCCATCTACATCGCCAGAGCCCACAGGCGCCTGGACTATATACCCACCTCGCCCTCACCTGCCACTTCGCAATCTCAAGTCACCTTTGGTTTTGCTGAAGCCTTTTAAAGAACATGGAGGTTTCAAATGAGAAGCGAGCATCTGGTCAACCCTAATTTGACAGCTGTAACCTACTGATCCAAAGATCTCATCCAGCCATTACTTGAAGCCCCCCCACTTCAACAATTGACTTCAAGAATACAGCTGGGTAGCTTGCTTCAGACCCCCACAACTCTTTGTGTAAAGAAGGGTCTCTTGCATATCTTCTCAGTTTCCACCTGTGTTCCTTTTCTCACAAGAGTTTTTGAAGTAGTGCATTGGGTTGACTTTAAAACCTTTACTGTGTTTAACTACTTGTTCTAAATTCCCTTATTGTTTTCTCTGTAAATGACCAAAAGAGACTGAATTTCATCAAGGTATCATTAAGTACTAGTTTTTTTAATTTGCAATTGGTTGTGGGCCATACTTTTAATTGTATCTGAGTCAGTCTATACTGATAAGGTTTGTTTTTCAAAAGCAGAGCAGGCCTTTATCATAATTGTCTTATTGCCAGTATTATAAGGAGCAAAGAGCAGAGATGTGGTTTGAGGAACAGTTATAGCAAAGCTTCAGGCAGATAAACATACACAGGCACAGCTGTGGCTGATAGTCTGCACTATGTAATCAGCTGTACTGAATCATAGATTCTGTGTAGGTAATTTGGCACCATCTGTCATTTGTGAGGAACATAACCAATAATGCCAGAACAAGCGATAAAAGTACTCAAATTCCCTCAAGGGCTTAGACAAAGTCAACAAAGTGAACTACAGAATGAAGAGTGAAATACGAACCACAAGACACATTTGGAAACTACTTAAGTGCTTGATCATTTTTTTTTAAAGTCCAGAATTAAGACATTTCTAATGCATTATTCATTAGCACTTTGCAAATATCTAAACTCTGATGTTTTAAGTGCTTTGACAATCTGGACAGGATTCTCCCTGTCTCATCCCCATCTCTCTCTGGACAGCACTGATGTGACTGACTCTCTGAGCTTTGGAGCAGAAACTGAGCTCACATGCTTCCCAGGAACAGACACTCATGGATCAGGAATGGCTTCTGCACAACAGCTGGCAAAGCCAGGAATATTTTACAGCCTGTGATCTTTAAATCTCTTATCTCTACTAGCAGAAGACTATTCCGCAGACAGATCTGTTATTCAGAACACAGGCATCTGAAGATTAGAAAAAATGGGACACGTGCCATAAACCTGCTATGTCAATCTGCACTGCAAACCCTGCAACTGGATATGGTAAGCTGTCTTAGCCAAACAGTAACATCAGAAGGCTTTCCTTGGAGCAGATGTTTCCAAGAAGCACAATTTCTTTTTTATTTTCAGAATGCAAAGAATTTGATTTTGGCATAGAATCTCAGCTTTGCTTACCTTGTCGCTGTCGTACATGTGCTGCAGAAGCCATGTCTGTCTCGTCTTCTGAAACCTCCACTGTGCGCGGTTCTGAGACCAGCTGCAATCAAACAGCACAGGAATCAACCACTGGGCAGCCCAGCATGCAGAACACAATCTGTCCAATGCAGCGTGCAGCTTTTTTTAAAACAAAGAATCTGATTTTTTAACCAATTGGCAAAAAAGTGAAGCCATTTCACAGTGTCTAACCGTTGCTTGTGAAAAAGGTAATGTAGAATAATTTCCAATAAGTCTTAAATGTTGACTTGAAGATTCCTCCTTAATAAGGAGGAATAAGGGCTCCTATGTGGACATACAGTGGCCATACACTCATACGATAATCAGAGTTTCTTGGAAATTATTCTATCAGACCACTGATAAAAATAGCTGTAGAATTCAAAACCATGATCGACAAGAGGGAGATAAATCAATACTTTGGTGCTGAAAGGAGAGAGAAATCACAGTGCAATGGCAGGAGACACCTTAACCTACAAAACTAGATAAAATAGCGAAACTTTGGAGCAAAAGCCAAAGAAAAACTAACTTAATGCCGCCACACACAAGACAAAAACCCTCAGAAAGTTAACAGTTAAGACCCCCAAAAACCCTCAGAAAGTTAAGACCTTTAACAGTCACATCACTCCAAAGTCTTGTCTGGAAGATGAATCCCCTGCTGTTAAATTTGGGAAAACAGTCGAGATTAAACAGTGGCCAGTCTGTAATGTATTGGCTGCAAATGAAATCGCTCACTGGGACACGGACAAAAAGTCCTTTTCACACCTGACAGGGAGCCAGCCTCGTCCTGGAAGCTATTTTATCTCCTGTCTGCAGGGGGGGCACTGCACACTGCGACACCGCAAGGCTTCAGGAAATCTTCATTCTGTGAGGCACTTGCTTGGTTTCCAGGCCAGGGGAGAGGGGCTTACACAGCATTCTCCCTCTGGCCTCGGAGCTCTCTGTCCTGACAGCCCAGCTGATATTAAAAACTCCCCCTCCCTGAAGAATGCAGCTCGAGCCTTTCTGTCGCACTGCCAGGAGACTCCACTGCTGTTAGTACCCAGTGCCGTGCCACAGCTCAGTCAGCCCCCTGTCTCCGTCCTCACCCAGGGCTGCCAGAAGTGCTGAATCACTGCTTTCTTTTGTTCGCTGCTGTTTTCTTTGTTTTTGTGAAGCCTGCTGAGGCAACCCAGCACAGACCAACGGCTTTCTCTTGTGAAAGCAGCCGGGTTGGTTAAGACACCATTTGGGAATACTAGTATACCGTTCCGGACACCACGTTACAAAACGGGCATCGGCGCTCTGGAATCAGTGCACAGAAGACCTGCGGGTTTAATCCCAGGTCTAAAGGAATGTCCTGCACCGACACCTTCCAATTAACTTGGAAGAACCGAATCAGTTTAATTTTGAAGAGAAAATCATTTAAAGGGACTGGGATTGGTACTCAAAGTCATCCCAATGATGAACTTCAAGAAGAACAGAACAGCTTGAATCATGTGACACAAGAGGAAACCATGGGGAAACTATGGGCAACAAAACGGGCTGTGAGAACCTAGTTCAAGCTGACACCCTGCTCTTTCTGAAAGCATATGCGCAGGACAAGCGTTGGCTAGAAATGAAACGAGCCAGATGAGCCAAACAGTCTCATCTCACTTGCAACCTTGTCAGCCGTCCTGCTCTGAAATGTTTTTTTCAAATACGTGAACTTTAAAGCTACCAAACGATGTCTTTTTTTATTGCTCAGATTATTTATCGGCTGAAATTGACCTCTTTGCCTTTCACACGCACTTTCCACTGAGAACACCCCCTAGTCATTGTCTGAGCTACGAGTCCCCACAATGTCTCAGACTGGTCCAGGATCGGTTATAACCACCAGCCACACCAATCACCCAGCCACCCACCAATATGAGCGTAACCACGGAGGTGTCCTCTAAGCCCTAGGGGGCGCTCTTATGCTTCCTCTGTAAACTCCAAGGATGATTAAAACTTGGAGACTGCACAACCGAGTGCAGTCACCACCTACAGAATCCCAGTCATGGACAGCTCCAAATGGACTCGGGCTCAGCCCCCAGACAAGAGCCTGTATTGTTTGACTCAGACAGGCGTTTTTGAGGAGAGGAGTGAATCTGAACAAGACTTAATTCACAAAGTTAGGAGGCAGCCTCTTGAGTCAGTTTGTGCTTAAAGTAAAATTTATTAAAACCCCAATCACCCCATCTCTATGGAAACAGGCATCACAGGCAGGCAATACTGATAGAAATAATGCCAGCAATACCACAATGAGATCTGGCTCTTTAAAAAGAGGCACTGTATGTGCTGAACTTTATAAAAGCTGTCCTTAAGCAATGCAATCAGCTCAGCAGTTTTCTTATCCATCTGTGCATGACTTAAGCGAATGTTTTTTTGGTGGTGTGTTACAAATAATAATATCAGGAGAAGATAATGCTACTGGTCCAAGGACAAAACAATGTAGAGACCTCTCCTTTCATCACAAAATCAGAACCATCAGCAATAACAGGCAGAACACAAGAACTTCAAATGCTGCGACGCAGTACAGTAGTTAGAGTGGCTATTTCTAACACAGTTGTTGCTACAGAAAGAAGACAGAAAGATCACATGAACTTTATTAGATTTTCAAAGCTGCTCGAAGAACTAAGTAAACCATGCCAATCACTTCTTTTCATGCTCATATAGGCCACGTGCTTCCTCTTAACACTGGTCATAATATTTAAAAGACTCCCTAGACATGATCCCTCAGGTCCTACTGACTACAGTCAGCTGTCTGCTTTGTTTTCGGGACTACCTACAGTACGTTTTCACAATGGAAGAACCACGTTTCAAGTAAAGAGTTTAAAATGATGTAAAAACACACCAAAGGCAGATTATCATCCAGTGAGAGGAGGCTGATTTTTACTCTTTAAATGTAAAACGGTGGTGCAAAAATGGAGCTCTCCCTGTTGTTACAGCTAGGCCTCCCTCTGGTTCGCCTGGTTCCCTGTTCAGAAACCTCTGGCAGAGAAAAGCAACCCAATCCTACAGCAGCCACAGGGAAGACTTTAGACCTGCAATAGAAAACCCTTTAGGAACTGTTTCTTCAACAACGCAATAAAAAACAAATCTATTCAGCAGATGCTTTCCAAAGTCCAAAGTGACTTGTAGAGTCTAAAAGGCAGTAACAGGTCCCTAGTTTGATGCTCCAGAAAAGAAGTAAAAGGAGGGTCAAATATTCTGAAAAGTGAAAACCTCCTGAAAGGCTTCCATCACCCACTTTCTTTAACAGATTCATGTAGTTGTTTTTAAGGGCTGAAACAACAGATTACTGTGGCCTTGCAAGATTATGTAGAACAGAGCTACTTGTGTATTGTACACAAGTTAATAAACTGTGATGTCTATAATTGTAAACAGGTTATTGCAGTGTAGTTAAACAAGAAAAAGACATGCATTTAAGTATTTAACAAAGTTTTAAATATTGTCAAATATAATCAGAAGACTAATATTTTGAGTGTCTGCCCATTTGTTTTCTGGCAGTCAGCTCTGTCTTTAATATTATCGAAATATCATTTATGTTTAATCCTGAAATATTCTCGAAGAATATTACAAGGGAATTCATTTTATTTCAGGGGAAATGCTCAGTTTTAATTCTAAAGTGTACTCGCATAAGGATAACTAATAAGGATAGGTTTTTATTTCTAACTACAAAGATGAGGAATACAGCTGTTATGTGACTATTATTAAACACATGGTTTTACTGATCTGTAATATTTCCAGTTAACTGTAAGCTTCCCGCAAAAGTCGGTGTTCCCGAGCTTTTTGAACAGTACAAAGCATTCGTTTCGGACAGCGAGGAGCCTGCCTCTAGGACTCTGTTCTCCTCGCCTCGCACCCTTGCTCGCGGCTCACCGGGCTGCAGCCCGGGCAGACTGTAAGGAACGGTTTTAGCGAGAAGCCGTATTCTGTTATTAATCTGTCCGGAAAGTGACCCCAAAGGCTTTTTCTATGTCCCGCTATAGTCAAATCCAAGGAACTCTGCTGGTCTCCATGGGAACAATCTCCCAGGTCAATAAAGGGTCAGGAAACAGAACTTGCTAGTCTTACCGGGAGCTGCATGACAATTCTGTAGCAGCAACAGGGTCGTCTGACAGAATCTGAGAACTATGTTACCGTGAGCAACCTGACAATCTCTTGACTTGCTCACATGATACTGCCCCACTATCTTTTAGTTTCCTCTGACTATTGAGAAGGGAGAGAATAACAGGTTTTTTATGTCTTTTTCAGGTACTTACCGAGACTAGATTTGATTTAAAACCAGACTTATTACTAGAATTGAGTCTTTAATTATGACATTACTGCATTATGGATGCTAATTGAGATATGTTACAAAGAACAGCGAATGAATATATACATAGACGGATACGTATACATCTATACTTATAGACAGATGGATAGATACAATTTTACAGGCTTTGAAAAACTTTGAACACACAGGGGCCTGGGAAGAAGGAAATATAATTATGCCCTAATGTGATATACCAGATTCCACAACCCCCCCAAGCTCATCGGCTTCTCTATCAAGAACAGGTCACTGAGCTGCCTTCACACTCAACGCTTGTGAGTGTGCTCTTTCTGAGGAGTATAAGATAAACAGGACTGTACTGTTCTCCCACTGGCCCTCTGCAAGGGAAATTTCTAAAGCTTTGAACAATATTACAGAAAGGTGTTAATAATAATAATAAGAAGAAGAATTGCTTACACTTACTACTTTTCTGACAGTCAAAGTGCTTTACAGGTAATGGGGACTCTCCTCACCCACCACCAATGTGCAGCCCCACCTGGATGATGTGACGGCAGCCATAGGGTGCCAGGACACTCCCCACACACCAGCTGTCAGTGGGGAGGAGAACAGAGTGATGAAGCCAGTTCAGAGATGGGGATTATTAGGAGGCCATGATTGGTAAGGGCCAATAGGAAATTTGGCCAGGATGCCGGGGTTACACCCCTACTCTTTATGAGAAACGCCCTGGGATTTTTAATCAGGACCTCAGTTTTACGTCTCATCTGAAGGAC